TTTTTCTTAACAACCTGCTTCCTTCTTATCTACCTCCCTGAAGGGATCTCATAGATAAGATTCCTGGCTTTTGTCCTCTCTGCTTACGTGCCTGCTTCATCTTTAGGTTATGGCAGCTTTCGCCCAGGTTTTCACCTCTCCCACTGCTTTTTTGCCTGCCCGTGGCAACCACCCGCAGTCCATAGCACCTGCCTATGGCACCCACCCACCCACACTCCATAGCCTGCCAGCAGCACCCACACACCTGCCTGTGGTCCATAGCACCTGTCTTTGGCACCCACCAACCCACCTCCACTGCATAGAGCCTGCCTGCGGCAGCCCCTCACCCTTAGCTCTCCCCCACAGCTCTCTCCTGCTGGCCTGCTTGCCTGGAACTCCTGCCTCTTCCTACGTCATGGTCATGTGAGGTCTGTGGTTAACAACCTGTGTTGTCCTGGGGTTATGACAGTAACCAGGACTGCTGGGATTGCTGTCATTAAGCAATGCAGTCACATGATGTCGTGTTTTATGACTGCATTGCTTAGTAATGAGAATTCCGATCCCAATTGCCATGATAACCTGAGGACTGCCTGTATGTTGTGTTGTCACATGCATCTGCTAAAGAGGTGGAGCTTGCAGCATTACATTGTTTTCATCATTTTGATGAACACACTAAACCCTGTGGATGCCTCCGATAGCTGAAAAAAATCTTTGGAGGGATCTCCATAGTGCACCTACTCATGGTTACAATTCCAATATTTCCCTCAGTTTCTTTTTGACCATGCATTGATAGGAACTTTCTCAATTTTTCTATTTAGAACTGTGCTGAAACTCTTAAATCTCTTTAATTCATTTATTTTTACTTCTACACTTCTCCAAATTGTTCTCTCCTTTTTGCTTTTATTTTCTTTCCTTTTTTAAAAAAAAAATCTTTGAGAGAGGTCATTAAGAATTAGGCAATATGGGCTCTGACTTGGGGCATTCCTACCATAACCAAATGCTATGATTTCAAGAGTACTTGCATAAGTGTTCTAAATATGGTGCTGAAATGCTCCCTGTTGATGGATACCCCAGGCTCTATTGTGTTTAGGAGCAGACCTTACTGTTATCTGTACCCACTGTAAAAAGCTGCTAAAACAGACAGGTCCAAATCACTTGTCACATCTGAAAAGGTAATTAATGGCTACAAGATTGATAGATTTCATGGAAGGTACATTAGGATTGATTTCAGTTTTATAAAATCAATCTTAGACTTTGAAAGGGCCATTTAGGTCATTAACTCCAAACTCCTGTTCACTGCTGGAGTACAGTTTAAAGCACTTTGACAAGATTATTTAGCCTCTTTAGAATATCCACTGAAGGGAAGCCCACTAACTCTTTGGATAATGTATATTCTAGGCAATATTCTTTCAGGTACTGTAATGTTGTCATATCTTCCCTAAGACTTCTCAGTGCTGATCATCCCCAATTACTTCAATTTAAGCAACTGGCATAGTGATTGTTCTACTTTGAATATAATTGAAGAAGTCCTTTTTTATTATTCTTAGCATCCTTTGCCAATTTCACCTCATTCTCTGCTTCAATCAGTCAGATATCCTCTTGTGGACAACCACAGAAATGACTTTGGAGACATTATATGCATGTGTATAGACTTACATTAAAGTGCTAATGGGATTTACATGGAGAAAATCATGATGCTGTTGTTTCATCATTGCTTTTTAGATAAAAATATAAATGCATCCAAACTGGGGTAATGCCCCTGTATTGTACATAAGATTCTTTACTTGTTAACATTAAAAGTGAATCTTAACTACATTACTTTTCATATTTTTTTTTCTTTAGGCCTTTCAAAAATAGTTATCAACTTAATTAAAGGTGAATCTTTGTTTAATGATGCAACCACAGTAATTATTTTTGAGTTATATAGGGACCTTGCACGTCAGACCCATCAGGAAGTGGGTATGTATCTATTTTATTTTAATTTTTCCTTGAATAGAATAAAATACTGTAATGCCATGATTCTCAACTGATACATTTTAAGTATATATTTGCGAGGCTATTTGAATTATAGTATTTAGTATGATATTAATCATTGTTCTCATGTTCCCTAATAGGGTCATGTAATGATAATCACTTTATTTGTTCACTCTGTTTGTATACTATGAAAAATAATCGCTGTATAGTATCTCAGGAAATATAGCAATAAATATAGATTCCGGAAACTGGATTGTGAAACAGGCATTTTATTTATTTTATTGGATTTAGATGCCTCCTGACTCCAAAATGACTCTGGGCACCTCAAAATCAATTAGAAAGCAGACTAAAAACACAGTGTCATATTGATAACAAGATAGCATCTGACCACTCAGTACAAACATTTACAAAAACTCATCAACTGAGGAAGTCCCATCCACCCTAATAGACGGTCTGGGAGAAAAATCAGTTTGTTTATTTATATGATTTATATAGCTGCCTATCCCAGACAAGTGACTCTGGGCGGCTCACAAGATTAAAACAAAGCCCAAACATAACCTTCTGGCACTCAAGGATACACTGTTAACCCCACTTACCATCAATAGTAGCAGAGCTCATCTATCTCCTGACAAAATGTCTGAGGAAACAACCAGGTCTTCAGTGCCTTGTGAAAGGCTAACAGGTTTGAGGCCATCTGAATCTCCAAGGAGGGGGATGCTGTTCCATAGAGCAGGTGGTGCCATTGAGAAGGCATGACTCTGGGGTACAACAACATGACATTGTTTAATAGAGGGGACCCAGAGCATGCTCTCTTTACCAGATCTGGTGGGACAGGCAGAAACAATAGGAGAAAGATGGCCCCACAAGTAGCGTGGCCATATGCCATGGAGGGCTTTATAGGTGATGACCAGTATCTTGAATTGTTCATGGAAGCCTACTGGGAGCCAGTGCAGCTTGCAGAGCAGCGGTGTTACATGGGTGTAGTGAGAAATGCCAAAAAATCTCCATGCTGCTGCATTCTGGACCAGTTCCAGCTTCTGAGTTCTCTTCAAGGGCAGCCCCATGCAGAGTGTGTTACAGTAATCCAAATGGGAAGTGATGAAGGCATGAGTCACCATGAGCAGGGCCTTCCAGTCCAAGAATAGCCACACTTGGTGCACAAGACAAACCTGTACCAGAACCCCCCTGCCCATGGCTGCTACCTGCTCTTCCAGGTCACCAACTCTAACTGGAAAAGTGTACCTTCATGCAGAGTTAAAGATGGAAAATCCACTGGAGGGGAGACTTAAAACCCACAGTGACTCCATTTTGCCAGGATTCAGCTGAAGTCTGTTCTCCCGCATCTGGACCCTCATAGCCTCCAGTCAGTGGGAAAGGACCTTCATAGCATCACTTGGTCAGCCCAGGGAAGAGATGTTCAACTGGGTATCATCAGCATACTGATCATATTACACCCCATGCCAATGGATAACCTTGTTCTGTAGCTTCATGTAGATGTAGAGCCTTGAGGCACCCCTCCAAGCTGGCACCTCAGGTTCAACTCTCCCCTCTTACCAATACTGTCTGGAACTGGACCTGGAGAAAGGAGAGCCATCACAAAACTGCCCCACACTTCCAGCCCACTGAGCTGGCCCAGAAAGATACAGTGATCGATGGTATCGAAAGCTGCTGAGAGATCAGGGAGAGCCAGGATGGATGCACTACCCCCATCCCAAGCCTGCCAGAGGTCACTGACAAGCACAATCAGTGCTGTCTTAGTACTATAACCAGGCCTCAATCTGCCCTTTAGGTTAGGGTTAGGGTTCTTCAAGGCCTTCTGGAAAGCCATCGGGGTCGGAGCCACACAGATCTCAGGCAGGATGTTAGCTATTTGATGGCTGGTTGGCCTTGTATTCAGTAGTTGTACTGCTATACATGTCCATAATTTCTATTCTAAAATATTAATGAAAATATTTAGGCATTTAAATGGGTATTTAGATATAACTATCTTGAATGATAAGTGTTGCTTTAATCTGTGAATTTCTTTAACAGTGTCAGCAACTGAATGATATAATCATAAAGCAGTTCACAGATTTAAAGAAAAAAAACATTCCTGGAAAGACATAGTATTTTCTTATTCTATTGTCACTGAATATTGCTTTGCCCACTGTTAATTATTTACATATTTTAGATTTATGCATATTGTCCTCAGAGAAAAATTAGACTGGTACCTATGGACGTTTACTTATAAGTCCAATTACATTTGCTCCCAAGTAAGTATATAGGATTGCATCCTATGTTAGTTATGTTTTAGTCCCATTTAAATCAATGGATTTAAGGCTATAGTTTTGTTATTACTTAAATCACTCTCAGACCTTATATTGTTTTAAATGGGGTAGGAGTGCAGCCAAATTTGGCCTGCCACATTGATTTGTGTTAGACAAGAATACGACTTTGATCTAGACAGTCTACATCAGATATAAAATGGGAATATTAAAATTCTGTGACACAGATATGCAATACTAAATGTAATTTTGTAAAAACCAAATCAAATTGTAAATAATTATTTTTTCCTTTTGTAGTTAGAGAGATTCTTTTAAAACTGGTTTTAAAATTTTTTGCAAGTGCCGCATTTGGATTTTTGAGTTCAAGGCTAGTTATTTATTGGTTGCAACGTATTTTCAATGATGGAATAATTGAAGTAGTTTTAAGCTTCTCGATGGCATACATAATTTTTTTTGTGGGTAAGTTGACTGTATTATCTTTGTCAAATGCTTAATTTTTAAAGCAGACTTGCCTACTTCCATATAATAATGACTTTACTTTTTTTTTTTCTTTCTATCTTCAGCTGAATGGCTTGGCATGTCTGGAGTTATAGCTCTTTCTATTTTGGGCCTTCTTTTAGATTCAGTAACCTTTAGTCCAGGAATGGATGTTTTTCTTTATAAGTAAGAGTTTATCTCTTTGTCTTAACCACTTTGTAAATGTTTGTGGTAGTTTAATTTCTCTCTTTTACATATGATATAATACAAATTAGTGCCACTGAAATGGCTGTAGAATGGTAGAATGAATTTCCATTTTGCAAATTCTGTATTTATAATTGTAATTGTGTACCATGTACTTACAAAAGAAATGGTAGGTATGATTGAATGTTGATAAATTAAAATGGTTATAGTTGTGGTCCATAGAACTTTCATTTTGTTCACAAGAAAGCTCATGACAGTGGGCTTAAGTTTGAGAGCCTGCATTTTAAACTTGGTCAGGGAGACAGAAGAAAAATTTTTGTACGCCATCTGTATGACTGCCCATTGACTGCTGTGCCCAAGCTTGTTAAGGTGTTCTCAGGGATGGTGGTGGAGGTATTAATCTTTTTTTTAATAATATTTTTATTAAAGTTTTACATACATAAAAGCTAATACAGAACTAAAAAAAGATATACAAACAAAAAAAGAAAAAAAGAGAAAAGAAAAAGAAAAGCACATTAAAGTTACTCCCCCCCTTCAAATAAGTATAAACATTTGCAGTAACTTAACAGCTCCTCTAGTATTATAGGAAAAAAAACTCTTCTTCCCATTTCTCATCCCTTAATAATAGCCAAATTATTTAAAAAATCATCAATCTTACACAGCAAAAGTATTAAGAGTACCAGTAATAATAACCTATATATTTTAACCTTAGACAAATAAATCCATTATACACTTTAACTTATAGCTTTCTCTAATAAGTAAAAGATAAAAGATTTATTCCCATAGGCATAAAAAATACCAGTAATAGTAATATATATATCTTAAACTAAATCAAATAGGTCCCTTTTACATTCTAACCTATAACCTTCTGTAACAAATAGGACATAGAAAGTTTATCCCCATATGAAAAAAAATCTTTAAATCCTTGTCTTATAGTCCTGGTCAAAAGAAATTATTCCAGTAATAACAACCCAAAATCACAATTTATACAATTTAATCCTGATCAAATAAGTCCACTTTGAATTCCTTTTTCTTCTTTTTAAAAGGCTTGATCTTCAGTTACTTCTTCAAATAAAGTCCCACATGATGATCTCTTACCATTTTCTCCCTGTCTGTTTTCATACTTCCATTCTGTGGGTCCAAAGTAAGATAACTCTCAGTGTCATTCTTCTAATTTATAATCTGGATGTTCCCTTTAATTGTTAAAACATCATCTAACATAATTTGTAGGTCCAGTGCAGCTTCTTTCTCCATGTCATAGTCAAACATTTTTAAGTCCCTTTTCAAATCCACAACATCTTTTTCGGTGTCTTCCATATCTCTTTTATAGTCTGACAATTTTTTAAAGTTCGTTGTAAGGTCCCTATTCAAATCATCCTCAACTTCTGCTTTATCCAGTAGAACCTTTCCTTCTTCTACAACCTCTGTTAGCTCCACTTTGGAAGTATCAAAAAATTTTGAAAATAAGTCAACATGTTCCCAAGCCAACTTAAATTCTTCTGTAGTAAAATAATATTCCTCCATTATGTTAGTACATATTGTCTCCTTTAATTGGTCTTTGGTTCCTTCTAGTTAACCTTCAAAACCCAGTCTTATTTTTTCTTTCTTTTCAGAGTCAAAGCTTTCCCACAGTAAGGTTTCTTACAGTTAATTTTAAAATCATCAGCTGTATTTTTATAAAATTTAAAACAGTCCATAAAAACTATTCTGAAAGCAGTCTGCTCTGTAGCACACTTTTTGGCAGCAACAGGCAACTGAGCAGGAACTGACTGAGCTCTTGAGTTTGTAACCAAACTAATTTTTAATTGGACCATGTCATTGGAATTCTGGAAAGCCAGTTTCTGATTGGCTGTTCAACCAGGTGAATTTCTAATTGGTCCAATTTGAAGAAGTTCCAAAGGATCACATTTTCGATTGGTCTTTCTTTGAAACACACTGCTATTTATTTTTCAGGTGAGATTGCTGAAGATTTTAAATGGTGTTTGTTAATTAAGGGCTGTTTTATTTTGATGTGACATAAAGCTGGAAACAGGCTTTGTTAATCTTCAGACTCTCTTCTTTCTTGTAAAAGTTATTGTGGTGTATAGAAATCTCAATAGCTTCTCTATGGAGTTGTGCATGATGATTTGACATGATTGGTAGTACTTGTGTATCTTTAAACTGAATTTTGTGCCCATTATGTAGCAGTGTGTGTTCAGTTACTGTGGATTTTTCAACTTGTTCCAGCCAGCAATATTTTTCATGTTCTTTTAGATGAGTTAATACACTTTGTAGTTCCAATATATACCTATCCAAAGCTGCTAAGTATGCAGTAAATTCCTGATGATAGAAGTGGACTTCTGCCATCCTTAGATGATTGAATCATTTCTTGGATATTTATTGTTGGTTTATAAATAAAGTTGTGTTTCTTCAGTTGTGAACCAACATTCTTCTAAATTTTTTCTTGAATGGTTTAATAGGCCCCATTGTAGCAACATTCCCACTTCTTTCTGCCATGTACAAGTCCTCATTATACAGTGGTACCTCGGGATACGAACGCCTCTGCTTGCGAATTTTTCGGGTTACGACCAG